AAGAGAGAGTCCACAAGTAAATTTTGAACAACTTTAAAGATGACTTAACGGTCATGCCTTACCTTGGTCTAGTCAGATTACAGCTGGGGAGTAAAAACCTTAACAGTGTCACAGTAACTGCCATTTATTAAACCAAGTACTACACAAGTGCTATCACATTGAATCCTCACAATCAACCTTTGAGAGATATAAGGAAACATTCTGATTCTGATGACATGGAAGTTCAGACGAGGCGATGTAGACCCAGAGGTTAATTAACTTGGTGAAAGTTAAACAGGTGGCAGTTTTAGAGGTGAGGTTCTAGCACAGATCTACAGATCCCAATGCCTATTTTGTAACCCTTAGGCTATATATTCTTCCCTTATTATATTAATGTTTAGTTTTGAATCTCAAATTTTAAAAGGGACACAAACTAGAACCTGTTCAAAAGAGAGTGACCTCAGTGATGAAGGACTGCATGACATTTCAGATGAAGGAAGACTGAAGGAAACCTGGGGATGGCTTAGATCAGTCAGGGACAAGGTGACCACTGTCCTCTGGTGTTTAGAAATACCTTTTATGAATGGAGACTCTGACTTAATTTACATGGTGTGATGGTTCGTTTTATGTGTCTACTTGACTAGATTGAGGGATAGCTGCATATCTGGGTATATCTAGGAGAGTGTTTCTGGATTAGAGTAGCACTTGATTCCATAGACCTAACAAAGAAGATCCACCCTTACCAATGTGGGTGGGTACCATCCAATCTGTTGAAAGCACAGAAGGAATGAAAAGGTGGCGGAAGGGAGAATTTGCTCTCTCTTTAAGCTGGGACTTCTATCTTCTCCCACTCTCAGACATCAGAGCTGCAGTTTATCAGACTTTCAGACTTTGGGACTTACACCAGTAAGTATGCCCAGTTCTCAGGCCTTTAGCTTCGGACTGAGAGTTTCACCATGACACCCTGTGTTTTCAGGCGTCTGACTATACCACTAGATTTCCTACTTTCTCAGCTTTCAAATGGCAGATCATGGGATTTCTTGACCTTTATGATCAAGTGAGCCAATATCCATAAAAAAAACCCCTTTTCTACATCAGTATATATCTTATTGATTCTCTTGAGAATACTGAGCAATATACATGGCTCAGAACCATAATGGACTGGATAAACATTTGTTTCATTGAATTGGAGGGAGTGAGGTCCTCTTCTCAGATGATTTCTAGAATATGTGGGAAAGCCACTTGGTGGGCATCTTGTAGGGGGATTGCATGGATATATAAACTACTTGTGGTTACAGTTCCGTCCATGCCTTTAACTATGTTCATTTAAGATATAGAATTGCAGAGAAAATTGCAAATCATGTCTAACCTATGACACATCATATTATACTACATATATAAAAGAAGCTTTTGGTTTTTTTTAGTCCATTTCTCCAACTAGAACAAGCTATTTAGAGAATAAAAATCTTGCTGCCTAAGTTTTTGTCAACTTCAGATCCCTTGCCTGGTACACAGCAGACACTAAAATGAGTGTGAAATGAATGAATGAATGATATGTGATAATTTTAGATTAAAATTTTGAGAACATAATGTCAGGTCCTGCAATCTAGCAATGGGAATAAGTTTTGGAAATCTCTTTTGAAGTCTCCCATGTCTAATAATTTTGGTTAGGTAGTCTTTGTTCATTGATAGGCCTGGAGAGTCTTCCACTCAAGCAACAGTAATCATTGTCATTATGTTTAGAGAAACTCATAGTTTCAAGTAGCAAGGCTTTCTACAGAGTGCATTTTCAACCCTATAGACATTCAAGGTGATCACCTAAGCTTCCATACTATTTAATCTCGAGCAAGCCCTGACTGGGGTGGTAGAGAACAGTCTAGTGAACATGAAACTCATCTTCTGGGTCTCATTTTTACTTCTGGTATAAAGCTGGCTTTAATCCCTAAATAGATGTGTGGGAAGATAAAATAGTGATTAGGGTGAATCTCCTGGTGTTCCCAAACCCTATCACTTTTTCTGTTTATAGGAAAGAAATTCATTATTAGACCCTGAAACAGGGATGGTCCATGTCAAAATTATGAAGTGAAGCTTGACTGGGAGGCCTTCCCTGTTGAATTATTAACACTGTTCTCTCTGTAGACTGTCCCATGGGTCTTGGTCCTTAAGGCATCAGGTGTGGGGAGATAAAATAGTGATTAGGGTGAATCTCCTGGTGCTCCCAAACCCTATCACTTTTTCTGTTTATAGGAAAGATTGGTCTGGTCTTCCCATGACATCATTTTAACCAATTAGAATAGATAGAAGTCAAGTCCTTCCCTTGCATACTCCTAGAATGTTAAGGGATTGAGTGACCACCTAGTCTGACTCAAGTAAGGTTAGGTACCAGCTCAGGTCAATCAGGATGGTGTCTGTATGGCACAAAAACTGGGTCTTTCTCTTTCGGTTCCATGCTTGTGTCATACAACCATTTCCATAGATTATATGTAAACAGTTTATTCTTTTGTCACATTTATTCTGATTACAGTTAAACTATAACCTTCAGGACTAAAATGTTGGGACTCTATTGAAGGACTGTGAACACATCACAGCCCGCTTTCTTGTCTTCTGACTGTCTCAGAACCTTCAGGCTGGGGATGGTTACCATTGAGCCATATGTTCTCAGACCAAACTGTGGCTTTATGCGCATGAAGGACATTAGCTCCTGTGTTTGCTGACCCTAGTCATTTTCTCAGGAATTAAATTACCGAGGAGGCAAAGTGGCACAACAAATAATAACTGGGAGTGTTACTGATACTCGGAAGTCAGGAGTTGTAATCCCTTGCATCCTGTGATTCACACCCTTCTGGCTTCCATCCTATAAAACAGAGAGGAATGTGACCCATGGACTGAGGCTGTCAAGGTGTCAGCTGAAATAATGTCACCTTGAGTAAATTTCTTCTCCAATACCTATCCCGGTTTTCTTCTGGGTTAGCAAAAGCTGTTGAATTTGAATTACCTCCGGGGATTCTTTTGTGTAATAATCAGCACATATCCATAAAATGTTTTGAGAAATGTTAGAGGCTTTTATGTGATGAAGGTTTAGTGAGGATGCAGACTCTTGAGTCCTTTAGGGTTGAGTACTGTGGATAGCAATCAGGGCCATTTTATGCTTAGTTTTTTTTTCATATCTTCTTTGCCCATCTATGTTATTTTTCTATTTTTTGGTTTTTTTCCCCCTTTCTTAACTGGGCTTTCATTTAATGAACAAAAGCCCACAGCCTTAAAACTCAGAGGGAAGATTGTTCTTGGTTACTTCCTTGGCAGTTATTGCAGAGTGTTTTTAAAAATTTCAAATATAATGTCTTTAGGTAAACATGCATCTACTATCACACTCATTTCCCTCCTCAGAGTGCTTCGCCCAACCTTCCTCTCTCTTGGGTATAACCAGTGTGGGTTCCATCAACTTTGAACTCTGTGACCCAGTTCTAGAGGGCTTCTGCTTTTGTGAGATAGGGTGAAGTTTACAAGCTCTTATATAAGTTAACTAAGGTCAGAATTGAAACCTCTGGCTTGGAATGAGGTCTATTTCTTAGAATTTTTTATTTTAAATATGTGGGGTACAATTCAGGACTAGATAAACAAATGTTCATGATGCAGGTACTCTTGTTGATGAGGTCTATTTTAATGTTCCTTGATTTTTCTTTGCTTCACCTCTGTTTTATCAGCGTTGTCCAACAAAATCTATTTGAAGAGAAAAACATTTTGTAACTGTACTAAGTGGAAGGAAAGAGGGCTTTGTTTCCATTTCCACTCTTGGATGCCTACATGCTGGCAGCAACAGTAAACAGAGAGATTCTAGCGAGAAAAGGAAAAGGAAAATGGATATTATCTTTTCATTACCAAAATTTTGGAGGGTCTATGCTTTGTTTTAAGAAGGACTTGTGATGAAAGACTGAACTTATATTCTATAATAACGCTGGCCAATGAAAATATAACATGAATCGTATATATATATATATATATATATATATATATGCATATATATACACATATATACATATATATGCATATGTATTTTCTAGGTACATATATTTAGAAAACAAAAGAGACAAAAAAAATTAACTTTTGCAATCTACTTCATTGAACTCAGTATATCCCAAATATTATAGTTTCAACAGAAGGTTCTCATCATAACTCAAGTGCTCAATATCCACACGTGGCTGGTAGCAACCATATTGGAAAGTAGAGATACAGAGTGAATTCATTTTTCTTTGTATTATCCTCAGTGTAAATAGCATGTTGTAGAGAAATGAGCACTCTGAATTCCAGCTCTGGGCCTTACTAGCTATGCAACCTTAAGGAAGCTACCTAACCTTTCTGAGCCTTGGGATTCTCATGCATAAAACAGAATTAATGAATACTCTAGAGAGTTGTTTTGAAGTCTTAATGAGATAAAATATGTAAACTTCTTAGCACACAGGCTCTTAAGTTGTAACACTATTAGTATCATTAAGTTTTACTGGGAAAGTTTGGGTGAATTTTTTTTTTTAATGTAGAAAAGCAATTTATTCCATTTTAAGCACTTACACAGTTAGTCATAGAGAGTAACAGGCCTGTTAGTGGAGCAGGTCACCCAAAATGGAGATGGCATCAAACTGGAGGTCAAAGACTAACTCCTAAAAAAAGAAAACAACTCTTACCAAGGATTAATTTAGTTTTAAAAGCAAATACAAGTTATTGATTCACTCTTCTCAACTTGACCGTCTACCTGTGGTATAACTGTCAGGTAAAAACATACATCTTTACAACTTGGTGGTCCCAAGTTAAAAAAAAAGCAACCATTTCACAGAAAGGAAAGAAAAAATATGAAAACAGTGCAAGAAATACACTAACGAGCAAAAACATATGGGGAAAGAGGAACGAGTAGTTTTGACTTAACTGAAGAAACCAAGAGGAAATGTCTACATATGAAAATGTACATCCTGGAAAGTCAGGTGTGAAGATTTTAGAGTAGGAATCTATACAACTTGAATCTTCCCTATTTCCTGAATAAAAATGACATCTTGCAGTATTTATTTATACTTCATGACTCGAGACCTACCTCAGTTGGCTCTATTCTTTACTCACTCTAGCCTTTACTTAAATGATTCTGAAAAACATGGGGATACAGAATAAGAAGAAAAATAATCCACATAATACTCCCCTTTCTGTAGCTATTTTAGACCTGGTTTGTTACTATAAAATTCCTGAAGAAAATTGAAATGTAAATCTGTGGCATTGCTGAATCAAGTCCCCCAGTTAATATTTAGAAAATACCCACTGTTGGTTTAATAGCATTGTTGGTGGTACCTATATGGTGGGATAGCCAAACAAAGTCGATGTCTCAAAACCAGTGTTAAGTCAATCTCAGGGTAGAGAGGAAAAAAAGGGGAGGGGAGTCTAGAATCACAAGAATTACAGACATGTCTAGGACTCTTGTCCTTCTGGATCCACACTACCTTTAGGGTCTTCATCATTATAAATATTTTCTGCCATCTGCCACACTTGCGTGATATTGTCTTCTGATACAGAGCAAATCACCCAAGGTTCGTTGGGATTCCAGGAGAAATCAGATATCTTGGCAGTGTGGCCACCACGAATAAACAATAACTCTGGTGGTCCATCTTCTGCATCTTCTGGGGATTGTTCTTCTTCAATTTTACTTAAATCCCAGACATTCAGTCTGCAATCTGTACCACTGGAAGCCAAAATAGTCTCATTGTGAGGTGACCACTGAACCTGGAATATTTCATCCTTATGTGATTCAAAGGAATACAACTTAAGTTTCAGATATCTCAGATCCTACAAGGCAACAGTCTTGTCAGCTGATCCCGTGGCAACAATGAACTCACTATAGGGATTGAAAGAGAGGCACTTCACTTCAGCAGTGTGAACATCAACTGAGTGGCTTGGTTTGGAAGTATTGTTTGAACGAGTATCCCTAATCATAAGCTTCTGATCATCAACAACTGACCCAAACAGAGTCTCATGGAGAAGATGCCAGGAAACATCTTCTTCAACTGTTGTATGCCCTGTAAAGTTGGTCTTCACATTCACTACTTTTCCTTTCTTTGGAACGGCACTGCTGTCCCATAGGCAGATGGTATGGTCATCTGAAGCACTAAGTAAGTGCCCACTGAGATGTGGGTTCCAAGAAAGTCCATAGCCTTCCTTCTGATGTCCACGAAGACATAAATCTGGGTTGCGCTCTCCAGAAGGGTCTGGTTTAGAAGGATGTTTTGTATAGTCAAAAACAAGAACATCGCTGGATGGAGTCTTTGTTGCAATGATGCAAGGGTTCTGGGGCATATGACTGGCCCTGTTTACTTCTCCTTCATGGTTGATTTTGATTTCTATTTCAACTTTTCCACTAGCCAAACCAAAACCTCCAAATTCTCCTTTTTCACTGTCTCTCTCTCTCTCTCTCTCTCTCTCTCTCTCTCTCTCTCACACACACACACACACACACACACACACATATAGAGAGAGACTATATATATGTTTATATATATAACATTAGCTGGGCATGGTGGCCTGTAGTCCCAGCTACATGGAAGACTGAGGTAGAAGAATCACCAGACCCCAGGAAGTCGAGGCTGTGCTGAATTGTGATAGTGACACCACACTCCAGCCTGGACAACAGGACAGGATACTGACTCAAAAAAAAATTTTTTTAATGGGAGTGAAAACTATCATGGTTTAATGTAGACATGCCAAGAATTAAACACAAGTTAACTTGGTGGTCCATCAAACTTGTTTGAGTTGGGAATAAAGTGTGCTGGGCTAATGGTACGATTATTGATTGGAATGTTCAGAGGCCTGGGTCAATCTTAACCCTAAAACATCACCCAGAGTCTTAAGCTAGATGGGCAACGAGAAGGTGAAAGTACAAAAAAAAAAAAAAGAATCAGGGAATGGATATTTCTGCCGCTGAATGATTACGAGTGCTAATTATGGTAAATTGCTGTATTTTTTTTGGGTAAAATGCAAAATCTAAACCTCCGAAATGCTTTCCAATTCAATCTTGAATGATTGGCCTAGAAACTATAAGGTAAAGTGAACATGCCTATTTTCTCCTGAAAAATGAGAGAACAAAATACCAATTAACACAACCTTTGCGAACATCTGTACATGACGTAATTCTTCAGCCATGCAGGGAACAAGTGAGCAAATTATTCGTCTAATTTCTGCAAGTCTCAGAGACAAAGAAACAGTCAAACATCTGATCTCTGGAATAAATGCCTCCTAAAATAGAGTTGCCCAAATCATTGGCAGTGTTAGGGCTTTGAAGAAACAGATGGTTTGGAGTTGCAGTGGATGGCAAAGAAGATGCTAATTAATTACAGTAGGACTGGCTGGTTTTTGCTCTGCTGTTTGGAATCTTGACCATTATCCAGTTTCAAGACCCCACGTGGTTCCTGCCTCCTTCACAGTTTTCCCCTGAAGTGTTTTTTCTTCTTTTTGTAAATTTCAGTCTATAGCCTGACTTTGGTAAGAATCACATATAAATTGGAGCTAGCTTCTCTCTAGTCATCTTGAGTAGCCTACAATAATTGTATTGTTACTTAAGGTTTCTCATGGCTACATTTTATTTTCCAATTAAAATGGAAACTCCAGTCAGGTTTGATGACTCATGCCTGTAATCCCAACACTTTGAGAAGCCACGGTGGGAAGATCACTTGAGGCCAGGTGTTCAAGACAAGCCTGGGTAACAAAGCAAGACCTCACCTCTACAAAAAAAATAAAGTAGTTATCCAGGTATGGTGGTGCATGCCTATAGTCCCAGCTTCTCGAGAGGCTGAGGCAGAAGGATCGCTTGAGCGTAGGTATTTGAGGCTGCAGTGAGCTATAGTCATGCTACTGTGCTTCAACCTGGGTGACAGAGTGAGACCTTGTCTCTAAAAAACAAACAAACAAATAAATTGGGGTTATTGTTCATACCACTTTAACAACTAGCCCTGCCCAGTAGGTACCTGTTGATTATGTTTATCTTGGAGTCATCATAACTGGCTGTGCTTGACTAGCTGGACTTCATGGAATTAGGAAGGAATGTCTCATTCCAGCAGTTTTTAGTTAGTCATTTAGGCTACGTTCTCAACAGTTAAATTGTATCATCAATGAATAAAATAGGAGAACATTTTCCACACTGTGGATGGTCCCCCTAACTTTCATGAATCATCTTATGAGTTCATGTCTCTGTCCTGAGGGACTGAAATAAAGAGTATGGATACATCTGCATAACCCCCAACCCCAAACACACACACACACACACACACACACACACACACACACACACACACACACACACAAAACCTCTCATGACTCTCTTTTGAGGTCCTGCTTTGCGTTGTCTTGTAAGTTACACAGCTGAATTCTTGAGGCCAGAGGTTTTCCTTAGTATCTTTGTTCTTTTACACTACCTCCTCAATAATTATTTGTTGAATGAATGCAACATCTTTGCATATTTATCAGGCAGTATGCATGTTGTTGTTCTTTTTAGTAGCCTAGAAGATTTTTCCTTAAGCAGATTCCTCTCGGTGAATATTCCAATCTTTGAACCACTCTTTTTAAGACTGTACGAGGCCTTTAGATGTGACCACTGTCAAGTCCTCCTTTTCCCATTCTGTAACATTTAGAGAATAGTTTTCTGTCTCTTTATTATTCTTTGCTGCGTCTGTCACTGTAAATTAATTCCTTCCCACATGACCAGCCCTATTGACTGCTTAACTCTCATATTCTCTGGGCACTTCTCTTGACCTCATGCCTTTGGTGGGCATCTTTTCCTTTACTTTTCTATAAAAATTGGCATTTCTACAGAGGTTATCTACCGCTCCACCTCTGCTAATGCCACAATCTTCCCTGGCTAATATCATTGTAGCTCTCAGTCCTCGTTCTCTTCCACATGCTGATGACTCCCAAATGTGTATTTTCTAACCTAACTGTTATTTCCTACATCCAGAGTCTTACGTACAACCTCCTGCCAGCCCTCTTTGCCCCTGACGAGTTTGTGCCTCACTTACTCTTGCCTTCCCAGGCACTGTGAAGATGTTCTGAAATTGGATGGCTTTCCTCATACTTTAGTAACTAACTTCCATTTTTTTAAAATAAGAAAACAGAACCTTGAAAATGTTGAGACTTCAAGGTCAACATACTTGCTATAGTTTACGAATCTGTGACTGACTACTCATTCTGTGCAGGGCCCTGGATGCCTTTCTCTCCAGATTTTCTGATCTGTGAACATCCTTCACTGTGACCATGGGATAACAAACTGTCATCTCTTGTAACTCCCTGATAGTGAAATGCAGGCTCCTTCACGCAAAACTTGCTTCCTGAAATTGCAGTATCGAATCACTCTAGGATTAAAAATTATACTTTGGACCAGAGAATAAACTTACTTTGGGGAAAAGTTGGTAGCAGTTTGGTTTTGGTTTACTAAGAATACAACATTCTGATTGTACAGTGAGATAGATATAGGCATCGGAAAGACCTGAGCTATTATCTAGTTTATTCCCTCATTCCTAGATACAAGTAAAACTATGTTTATTTTGCTCCATGAAGAGATTTGCCTTAATTTACCCTAATAGGTTCGTGTTCTTTAATGATACTATATTTAGTGTATCATAATTGATGTTATATTTTGAGTATCTGGGCCAATGGTTCTGGGCAGACAAAGTTTGTGGATATCTTAGCACCACATATCACTGGATTTGGCACTTTAAAAAATACCCATATTTTTTGTGTTTTCCAAAGCCTACTCGGAATCCACATCCTTGTTGTAGGGTTTATGGCATCCTCGTCATAACTCTCCAAGGATGATATTCTACAATGTGGTGGAAATATACATGGCTCTTCTGTATTTGCAAGTGAAGGTTCAGTATTTAGATTAGTTATATGTTTTTTGACAGCCCATCAAATGCCAATTTTTTTATTTTTAAAATTTTTATTGTAGAGATGAGGGCTCATCAAGTTTCCCTGGGCTGGTCTTGAATCCATGGGCTCAGGCAATCCATTAGTCTTGGCCTCCCAAAGTGCTGAGATTACAGGCTGAGCCATTGAGCCCGTCCCAAAGACCCCCTTTAAGTCTCCACAGTTTCTCTGAATTAGGTAGTACAGACTCTTTTTAAAATGGAGATTAAAAATATAAATATGTATGTTAACAATGAAATACTGAACTTAGGCCTTCACCATATATACTCAGATGAATTGACAAAGTATTGAAAAAGACAAAATTTAGGGGCTTGTGTGTGAGGGAGTGCATCTGTGTGCTTGGTGGCAATTAATAGTTGTCAAAGATATTTTATTCAGGGATTTACTAATATGAGTATTTGCCTTTTAAGTAATTTTCAAAAAGCTGTTTTCCCCTGTATATGAAAAAATAATTCTGGTTATGTTTTCTAAGTGAGGAAGACCAAAGCTTTTCTTCTGATTAAAATCTCATTTCATATTAATTTGATATGAAAACTTTTTTTCTAGAGATTCATATAGCCTTTAATATATGTAACAATAACCTATCTGTTGATACTGAGATTATCTTGTGATGTTAATGATTTATTTTTGTTTGGCACCTTGTGGTTTATATATTTATTTAGATCAAACTTGATCCTCACTGTTAATGAAATAACGGCAAGACCACCTTAACCTTGGAAAGATTAAGCTAATGACTTATTTTCTTTAATTTGGCATCATCATTATTACAGATCTTTATAACTCTCTAAATTAGAATCTTCATGTTAAGATAATAGTAAATTTGGCTTATTGAACTATAGTTTTAAAAAAAACTGGCGGTTCATCTCTCTTTCCTTTGTAGTAGTTCCTATGTCATTTGAAATAATTCGCACAATTGTTAGAGTATCTGATAATGGCCTACACTTTTGATCAGTAATATAATCTCTTAGGGCTATGAGAAGATAAGAAACTATCTTTTTAAGGTAGTTATAAAGCAGTTTTCTTACACTCTTAAGAATCTCATGTACCTCTGAATTAGGTACAGTACTTCTCAGCAAAACAGAGTAACACTATATGGCTATATTCCTAGACTTAATCAATTAATTGGTAGGAAGTAGAGATTCAGAAACTAAAAAAGAAAAAAATCCCTTGACTTTCCATTGGGCACGGAAGAGACACTTGCCTTTGACTGCTTTTTAGCATCAATTTTTTAATGGCAATCTGTTGAAGATATTATGATAAAAATATCTAGACTGGTAAATAAAATCAACACAGTGAATTTTTATAACATTTGATCGAATCACAGACTTGAGGACAATGAAATATTTATTAAATAAACCTTTAGGCACACTGAAAATTTGCAGATAAACTTTTTATTGGTATCATTCATTTTATACCTGAGACAATAATCATAGTGTATTTTTTTTTCCAGTGGAATTTATGAATCTCAATTTTTATTTTAGATGCAT